GAACAAACTCCATTTGAGGTGTCCCATGCTCCCTGTGTAGGGGGGGTATGCCTACTTGTATTTGCACCGTCGCTGACAAAAGGGTTTGGGTGGGCACTTGGCTGGCAAGAGGAGAGCCCTCTGTGTGTGGTCAAGGGATGATTGGTGCGTGTATGGACGAGTGTTTGGGGCCTCTACCATCAACTGAGGCTACTGAGAGGCTTTGTTCAGCGGGGACAGGGGCAAGCTAACGACTAAAGCGAGCCTTTTTGGGGAATATTAGACTGAGGGGTTGGGTTGAGGCGTCCGATTTAGGGCAAGGAGTGCCCGCAATAGGGCTAGGGTTTGTCGGGCCCTCCATTTGATGGCACGGGTTTGCGGGTCATTTCAGATGCGGGGATTCGCTTTTACCTGTGCAGCGAGTAAATTACCCCAAAAATCGGGTTTTGTGACGCAAGTTCTGGACTCATTGCCCTCCCCCCTCTCACTCCTCCTCTCACCCCCACTAAGAAAGTGTGACTTGTGTGCGTGTGTACGCATCTTCGTGCATGTACAATGGCTCACACCTCCGTTTCGCTCGACACTCAATACGAACACAGAGGCATTCTTGGCTAAGTGGGACACCCTAGGGAAGCGAGGTAGCGAGACCACAACAAGTCTAGTAGGCTAGTGACCTCATACGTAAACCACAGTTCAATAAGTTGATAGCAAAGGTTAGCAAAGGTGTGGTGCTTGCGTATCTTTTTACAACTACGTATTCATCGATAGTTATGCCAGCAGAGACATAGAGAGAAGCATCACATCCCGAGATTTGTTGCAACATTATGTGCAGCAATTTACCAAACGGTAAATGGGAACGAAAAGCTGAGGGCATATATAAGAGTGAGCGTAGGAACAGTTCAAGGGTCAAAAAATCGGACTGGCCACAGCTACCTACGATTCTGCCTGTAAAAACTGCCACATTTTTGGCATAGTGGAGCGTCTGATAAAACCGCTCTTTGATCTCAGGCGAATTGCCTTCCCAGAGGCTTTGTATCTGCGTAGTAAATTAGCCACACACAGCTCGGGCTGCTCTCCCTCTCCCACAACCTCAAGAATTGGTGGAGTATTGTGTGCATGTGTATGTACCTCCTGTGTGGCCTGTATATGATGACGACGGATGCCCTCAGCTAGACAGTCAGGCTCAGCACGTTACAGCGGACTAATTGGAGAAGTCTGTGAAGTCCTAAGGGTTCCCCACCCCACCTCCCACTCAGAAACAATGCAATGGTTTTGACCTTCAAAGCATGCCAGAGGCACCCTTTCCGCAGAACTATACCAGACTACTCTACTTGACCCACACTCCCTCAACTTTCCTGCTCTCTCGTCCTCCATCTCGCTTTCCCCGACTAGGCCCCCCACAGGCAAACGAGCCTCCATGTTGTCTGGTTGAATTACTCAGCCCCAGACCACACTTGCGCCACACTCTCTACGCTGAGTAGGAGTGCTTGCCGACCTACGTTATCGGTCGCTATCTCTCCCTCCTCCCCCTCAATATACACGAGGTGGCCACCTGATATCGGCATTTCTCCGCACAGTTCAGACTCATCGCCGGGAAAAGTGATACCTCTTTCTGTCCCTTTGTGTCTCACTGGTGTCGTAGGATTCGCGACGTCGAGTGGACCACCTGCTAGTGTTAGCCCCACGCACGCGGCCACAACTAACGGGTGTGTCACAAATCTCCCTGTCACACGATCGCCGTGTTTTTCAAAATCTTTCTCTGTGCCCTTCATTCCAGGCGGTTACTTAATAGCTGTTTGTTTACGGTTGTCAATCTGGGCTGGCGGGGCGCCTGAGCACCGCCGACTGCGGTATCGTTTGTCGTCAGAGGAATTAAATATGTTACGAAACTCCCTTTCTTAGCCAGAATATGTGGGGGGCAGAGCTGTGTGTGCCCTGCTGTATAGCTGCAGCAGAGTGTTCTGTGTAGGTGCCTTGATAACACGATATGTGCATCTGCTACTAGCTTGCAAGGGAGCCTATTGACACAAGAGGTGATTCTGTTTCGTGCAACTGCCGTATTACCCTCGAGGCAGGCCGGTGAAATCTAGAGTTCCGTGTGTGTTGTGTGTTGGTGAAATATTACCAGAGCGTTGTTGGTGGATTGAGTGTGTGGTGTCAGTAGAAGAATATCTATGAGTATTGTGGGTTTCCAGTCACTACCTGTAAGGAGTAAACAGCTTTGGTGTGTTGTAGTACTATCGCTGAACCGTTCTCTCTCTCCCGCCTCCTCTTGTGTTTACTAACAGCTTTAACGTTACGTCAGTGTTCTGATACCATCACTCAACCTTTCTCTCTCTCTTCCTATAAACCAGTGGCAGATCCAGGTGGTTCCCTGGGTTACGCGGAACCCCCCTTTTTGTCGTTTTGCGCGCATGCGTCGCCGGCCTCGTGCGCGCACCCGAGCGCAGTCGAAAACGTTCTGAACAGCGGAACTCCCCCTTTCAAAATCCTAGACCCGCAACTGTAAAGGCTCATTGCTAATCTCCTGTTCTTATCTCTCTCTTTCAGGCTAAGCAAGAAAGCTAGTTTGTATGAAACACTGCTTGTCCTCCTTCCGGTGACATTTGTGGGCTACACTGACTACTCTACTTTGTTAGATTCGTGCTAGGTTTTTTTTCAATGTTCATTGTTAGTTTCTTTACTGTCTCTTTCTTTTTCAAATCTAAAATAGTACATTATGATTGTGTTACGAATGCAACATATTATTGGCAAGCAAACGTGAGTGCAAAATTTCTGCGGTTTTGAAAACCATACGGTATGGACAACGCCATAATTATACAGAGAGAAAAAACGGGAAAATCAAGCAATTTAGATGACTATCGGTTTGTTTGTTGAAGAAAAAGTTAATGACAAAAAAGTACTTTAAACTAAAACCAACTCTCTATTTTTAGAGCGTTCTGCCCATCCACTTTATCAATTTTGGCAGCCTGTTGTCTAGGTCCTCAAGTGGAAAAGTAAGTAGTTGGACAGCTTCAATTGTGTCCACATGGGTCAGTGTAACTGATAGGTCAACTGATATCCTGCAGGAACGCTGGCTGGGTCTTTGGTTGACACAGTCCCCCAGTCTCTCAGCTCTTAGCTCTCATTAGCTCTTGTTTCTTTCCAATCAGGTCTTGTTTACACACTCATGCATGAAGTGGGCTCCTATCCAGGCTATACTCATGAGGCAATGTGGGACCTGCTAGTAAGGTCTTCTAGCCGAAGGGAGATCATGCTTTATTCTTTTCCAATTTGGAGCCTCATAATAGGGACTTGTTGCTGGGGTTGCTTGTTGAAGTGCAAGCTTTTATTCTTTTGCAATTTGGAGGCTTCAGATATTTGCCGTATTTGCTAATGAATGAGTGCTAATAGTGTAGTTTGCGGTAGTATAGCTAGATTTTCGAGGTACAGTAGTGTATAAGCCCTTGTTTCTAAAATCTCTCTCGCTCACTCTGTGAATCCTAAAACTTAATTGCACGATCGCTCTATGTGCTAATTTCGCTACTTTGCCCCTCTTCACAAGAAGGCCTTTAGTAAAACATTGCGGAGGAAACACTTGATTCGCCTAAATTCTGTGTATGTGTACATGCAAGGTTTGTGGTGAATTGGGAAGTCTTCTGCACAGAGAAACCCTCCGCAGTCTTACCTCCTACCTGCAGCTCCCTGGCCGAGAGAAGACTTTCCTGCCCGTACGAAGTGATTCTTTGGAAGCCCTGTGCATACCAAGACAGGCCTAGGCTGTCACTGGCAGATACCGGTGCATTCCATATTATACAGAGATATGAAGTTCCAAGTGTGGAGATACAGCTATGGTTGATAATTGGTCATAAGTGCTGCAACTGAAAGAATAGGAGAGGCTTCTTCATATATAGTAAAAGCACATGACGTAGGAACCAGAAAATAAGACGTGTCGTGTTGGAGCGTCCAATCGTTATCGCGTGTGTAATTTTCACACAATCCCATAGGTTCTTCCGTACGTCATAACTTCAGCACTGAAGTTGTCAAGGCTTCCACGAATTTTGCAGTTTAACGGCACAGTCTGCAGAGTTTCTCCACTGAGTATGCTGAAGCTGTCAAGGCTTCCACGAATTTTGCAGTTTAACGGCACAGTCTGCAAAGTTTCTCTGCGAAATTTTGTGTAGCAGTGAAACAAGCAATCTGTGTGTAACCTTCTTCCTCATTACAAAAATTAATCCTGTCCCTTAAAGGTGTCCAGCTAGACGGTAGTTTAAATACTTGTGTTCTTTGCCTTGCGATGTTTTTAACAAATTTTAGATAATTATGTGACACAGATGTCGATGCTGCGAGTTATTTGAAGAATTTTGATGAGAAGAACTAGAAACATGGTGGAGTAATTATTGCTAATTTTCACTCAATGTACATACAATTTTAACAGACAGTGGACGATTTTAGACTTATTTTTTGCACTTGAACATTCAGTGGATAAGTATGCATTGCATTCTTCGCAACGAGTGTAATCTGTGTGAATTTCCATGTTGCTAGGGGATTATCTTGCATGGTACTTTTGAGCTCAAATGATTCCTTTTTCACATCTCCAGCAATAGTCCGTGTATGTGAATAGCTTTTCAAATGTTTTCTACTTTTGTGAAGCAATACTGGCAGCGAAGTTAAATCCCGAGATGGCATGCAAACTTGCTTCCCTAAGTCACACACTCCGGTAAGTCTTGCAACTTAAGTACTGCATTGATCTGATTATGTAGATACTTCCATTTATGCGCCATAGACACCCAAATACAGCCAGCGTTTGAAGCCGCAGGTTGGTAAAACGGTATAGCTCTGTTAGCATAGCCTCGGTAGAGGGCATTGTGGAGGAGTGGGTAGGGTTACCAAACTGCCCATTATCGGCCCGTAACCCTACTCCTCGCGTAAGGTATCCTCATTAGCGGCGCTTTGAAGTGTGTACCGGCGTTCTAGTGCACCACGCACGCGCACAAACGAGGCGGCGGCTTCGGATAAGTGGACCCTGCATTCCAGCCATCGAGTCGGTCGCGTCCGCTGCACGCAGCTCAGCCTCCACAAAACGGCGCGGGAGACACTCGTCCGCTATAAAACGGAGCAGGGTGCGTCGGTGCGGGGCAGTTAGCGGCAGCCTACAAAGTTCTGTCCCCCCCTACAATGCAGTCTCTCTCCTTCGCTAGGACCATCATGAACAGTTACCAGCTCTCCCCCGGGATGATTCCTTACAGCGCCTACGGTCTCTCGCCGGAGCAAGTGGCCTGCGTGTGCGACGTTCTTCAACAGAGCGGGAACATAGAGAGGTTGGCGCGGTTCCTGTGGAGCTTGCCCGCTTGCGACCAGATTCAGAAGAACGAGAGCGTCATGAAGGCTCGGGCGCTCATCGCGTTCCACCAGGGAAACTTCCCCGAGCTCTACCGCATGTTGGAGAGCTACAACTTCTCGCTGGAGTCCCACCCGAAGATGCAACAACTGTGGCTGCAGGCACACTACATCGAGGCCGAACGTCTCCGCGGAAAGCCGCTGGGTGCCGTGGGCAAGTATCGCATTCGGCGCAAGTTCCCCCTCCCGCGGACCATATGGGACGGCGAGGAGACGAGCTACTGCTTCAAGGAGAAGTCTCGAGTCATCCTGCGTCAGTGGTACACTAAGAACCCCTACCCTTCCCCGAGGGAGAAGCGCCAACTGGCGGAGCAGACGGGTCTCACCACCACCCAAGTCAGCAACTGGTTCAAGAACCGACGGCAGAGAGACAGAGCCGCCGAGACCAAAACGTGAGTAGTCGCGCGAGGCCGTTTGTTTGTTTTGTCTGCTTGCTGCGTCTGTGCGTGCGTCGCTGAGCAGACAGGTTTGCAAGCTCCCCGAGCGTGAACGGTTTCTGTAGAGCGGTCCGACCGATTTACACGTGTCGTGTAAGGTTGCAACCGACGGGTGCCTATCAAAATGGCTTTGAAATCCGATCGCTATCTGCTGGGGAGAAATGACATTCACTGCCGCTGGTTGAAAGAAGATAGCTTCTGGGGCAAATGGACCCGTTTAGCATGTAACTGTAGACGCATATCAACTATCATTGATATCATAGAAGTGTTTTAACAGGCTATACCATCTCTTTCTTTCCCCAACAGTGGTGGTTCTGACACAGCCTCAACTAAATCAAGTCTAACAGGAACTCCCGGAGAACCGAAAACCGCCTCGCCTTCTCCGTCCATGCCTTCTTCTCCAAGCGACGGTCTCCTCACTGGGGAAGAATCGGAAAAAGTCGGAGACGACGCGAAATTGATGTCGAACCTTCCGGACTCCCCTCCCCATACAGATTCCACCACGGAGGAACCGGATTATTCCAAGATGAACATGTACTCGCCTACTCCGCCGGATCAGTTTCCCGAAGCGATTGCAACCGAGGGACAGACTTCGCTGCAAACGGCCGCCGTTTCCGAGGTCCAGGGAGCAAAGAGTTTCGTGCCGGCTTCGACAGAATACGCAGTGTCCTCGCACTCTGACCTCACCACAAACTACTGCGGAGGCATGACAACACTCGCGACCAACGGCTACACTCACCCGCACCCTCCTTCGGCCTCCCCCACCTCTCTCCTCTCCCCCATCCCTTACACCGTTCCTTACAATACTGCATTCGGGGACACAATCGGACTTGGAGCATACCCGAGCATGAGTCCATCGGGGTATGTAAGTCCGTACGGAACGAAACAATATTCATGGCCCACCACCCCGAGTGGAATAACTTACCCCAACACAGCGTTCTCCCACGAATTACCCCAATCTTGTTACCCCTATCAGGCCGGGAGTACCGCGGCTCCGACTTACCCCGCAGTTACCACGGCGAGACCGGGGTATCCCTCGGGGTACTTTTCCGCTCAAATCGCCTCGACAACTACGCAGAGCTGTTGAGAGAGGGTTTTAAATTTTAAAAAAACTCAAGAAAGGCAAACTGGTTTCCGTCCCGTTTAATAATCCTCCGACATTTTCGTTGAAACAACTCCATTTTCCAAACAGTTTCCACAGCAGCCAATCTCACGACAAATATCATCTCTTCAATAATTTTTGGGCAGTTATTAATATTTTTTCCTATAATTATAGCAATTTTGTAATCTACTCATGGTACAATCAATCATTCTGTACACTCTCAGTTTCATCTTACATACTAGGGCTCTGTATACATGCGTATGTACCTGTATATATCTTACTTATATATAATTATGTAGTTCATAATGGTAACAGTTACCGATACGTACGTATAGTTCATGTTATGTATTGTAAGTGAAGTATATAGACGTGGAAAATATACATTTGTTTGCCAAGTCAATGATCGACTCCGGCTAATCTCAAAGTTTCAATTCTACAACCAGCGCACTATCTTCAACACCGTCTCGCCTCAGATTGACGAATTGTAATTTTTGGATGTTGGAAGTTGTTGTTGGTGTCTATTATAGCCAGCAAGACGAAGCTAAAATGTGGGTTGAGGCCACTGATGTATATACACATACGTATACAACCCTCCTACGCATAGCATGCGATGGGAACAGGATAAGAGGGAGTGAGGGAGTAAAAAGGGCACATTCCGTTCAATTGCTCAGTCATGTACGTCAACTCTGTACTTTCCGAGACTAACGTCTCTTACTCTCAAATTCCCTCTCCTTCCTCCCCTCTTCTCCCTTTCCCCATCCCCCCCCTTCTTTCTCCGTTCTCTAACTCCTACCTCTGGGAAACCTCTGATAAAGGACCCTCTGAACAAAGGACACCTCTCTATAAAGGACACTTGGTTCTGCTCCATACTACAATATCCCCAAATCAGATATGCCTCTGAACAAGGGGACATCGATCCCCTTTTTCAGAGGTTTTGTTATCCACCACTGGCAACAAACAGAAACGTGAAAATTCCTATTCCCTTGCACCCCTCAATTCCCAAAAGACGTGTCCTGCGGTCTCACGCTACATTCACGAGTTATTCTCCGTGACCAAAATGTACATAGTGATAATTTAGAAGCGAGGGAGTTAACGCTAGTGCACATCTGTTGCAATACAGTCGCACTTGGTACCTGAGGGAAGTTACAACTTTGTTTATCTAATTAGGAATTAATTTAATCAACAGTCTTTATTACGCGTGACTATACATATTTGAAGGATAACTCGCTATAATAATTGTAGTAATTAACTCGTACTATAAAAATTATTCGGACCATCGGCAATATAACCACTAACACCAAATTTTGTATGTAACATTTTGCGATATATGAAATGCGTATTCTTTTCATTAAGTTATACAGAATGTTAGTAAGCAAAGCACTTGTGGATGCAAAAGGTAAACTTGTAAAAAATTATTTTGATTGCATTTCGACGCCTAATTTGTTATGCACTGATTAATGTAACATATTATTATACATGGAAACTATTTGTTAATCCATCCCCATGCTATATAATATGTGTCTCAATAGTAATATAGCTAGGGCTCTCTCTTGGGAGCTGGCTGAATCCTCGAGGGAGGAAGGGAGGAAGGGAGTCCGTGTGAACGAGAGCGTCCCTATAATAAGGGTTGAGTAATGGCACACATACCCACACTATAGAGGAACCCACTACCACGGAACCCCCGCATTACAGCAGAACCCCCCACACTACCACGGAACCCCCGCACTATTGCGGAACCCCCCACACTACAGCGGAACCCCTGCACACACTCACACTACTGTGGAACCCCCGCATTACAGCGGAACCCCTGCACACACTCACACTACCGCGGAACCCCCGCATCACAGCAGAACCCCTGCACATACCCGCACTCTCTAAGGACGACACCCCCCGAAAAGAGGACATCTCTCCTAATAACCTATTCCCAGGAATGTCAAATAAACAGAGAGAGGAAGGCAAAGGGTAGAATGCAGAGGAAGAGGTGTCAGCCTTACAGATGGAGAGAAAGTTCAAACGTGTAGGAGCGGATGTAGGAGGAAGTAAGGTATTGAAAATGGTGTATAACATTTGACACGCGTCGTCGAGTTGCCTTGCACTCCTACCCACTAGCTGTGGTTAGTAAGAACGAAGTGCGGAATTTGCACAATTCGGGAGAATTGGAGTTTGTTGGTATATTGTACTTAGGCTCATTGCTGTGGTATGGGGAAATGAGTGAGGGGGACTGCATGTTCTTCTATGCAGCAAATGAGGGAGAGGAGAAGAGAGGGGTACTATAAGGGAGTGTGAATGAGGTGGGATTAATGTATGCAATTGAGGGGGAGAAGGCATTATTCGAGCAGAGATCGGGTTTGGGTATATCATGTACGTATGTGTCGTATGGGGTGACGGAGGAGGGATGAGAAGCACCGCCTTTTATACTTTTGGATGTGCCAACCTCGTAGCATAAAGTGGAAGGGCACGGGATTGTAGAGCCTCAAAACAGAAAACATACCAGGACCTGGCTTGTTCCCAGGCCTTCCGCGAAAGAGTGAGAGAAGTGGAAGCCTTAGGACGGAGGCCAACTTGAACTTACTTGTCATAATAATAATACCCAACTTCCAGCTAAATGTTTTTGTCTGGTCCCATAACAACCGAACTCTCCAGACGAAGCCCGTACGGGCAAGCTTTTGGTTTGTCTGCGCTCGAAGCCCTCCACCCTTTGCGGTTGCATCAGCTTACTACTTACAGCTAGATAGAAAGCAACCTGATATATACACAAAGTATAAGGTTTCATTCTTCATACCTTGTTGTGGAAAGAAGTGTCCTTTATAGATAGGCTAGCAGCCTAAGACCCCAAAGATGTATGTAGTGGAGCTCCAGATGATAATTAATAATACTCAGGTGGCAGTAGCTCTGGTGCCATCCACCACGCACCCAGAACAATGGGAGGAACCGTTCACAAACTAAGTGTAGCTCAGATATAATGGAGGCTACAGTAAAAAAGCAGACACACAGCTAGGGCCACAAGTAACCTGTAAGGATTCATCCTTGTGGCCAGATAGACAAGAACACCCTCACAATGACCCTGTGTAGTGGAGTTTGTATAGCAAATATCAGCCTCCAGCCTCAGAATCCAATCTCTCTGCCAGTTGCCTTGTCTCCCATTGTTTCTGATTCACAAGATGCTTGTCTGCAAGTAAAATCTCCCAACCCTATACAACCACCAGCTCACAGAGAAACCTCTGAATAGGGACACATTGAGAACATCTGAAGTGTGCTATAATAATAAAAAATGATTATTTGCATGTGTCAACAAAGAGGTAACGAGGTAGAAAGGCAAGATGCCAAAGTAAACAAGTCAACTAAGGGGTAAGTGCTGACATGGATAGCTAGCTTTCTTCATGATGAACCGGGTTACCTCTGATTAATTCATCTGCGCATCGCGCCTGAAATCATGCCTGGTAGACCGTTAAAAAAAGTGCGTGCGAATTCAAGTTCAAACTCCTGAAAATACTGAAAATAATATTGTCAGTAGTAGGAAACAACACACATGCACATTGTGACTTGAAATGATCACAACAGCTGAGCTAAAATCCAACAAACTAGAGCCACAACAAAAGAGTTTTTTTTAAGTTTCTTCTTCGAAATCCGTGGCGGGAATGATGTTGAATTTCGACTGGACGAGCGTGTAATATATGAGAGCGAAGGTTGAAGTGTAGCTGAGAATCCAAATATAGCCCACCATCGATAGTTGAAGCAGCTTTCTGAGGCGATAGGCTGAGTAGAGGTGTTGTATCGATCCAAATGTCAGGAACACTAGACCCAGGTCAGTAAATCCTGGGGAAGACGGGGAGAGAGAGAGTGAAGGAAGGGGGGAAGGGAGAGGGGGTGAGGGAGAGGGAGAGAAAGGGAGAGGAGAAGAGAGCGGAGTAAAGGGCTAACCACGTTGCAACTTGTGTGAGACAAGAGACTTGTGAGTATGATGGATCATGAACTTATGGAAGGTTGAAACTGCAAATATATTTTTCTCAAGCGACAAAGTTGCATCGTGTATCGCGGCATTAATACTCAAGAGGCGCCGGCAATGCACCAAGAAAACTAGGTAAAGCCGGAAACACACGAGATTTGCTGGAGTCGGTTTCACTATCCCCAAACCACCAACCACACCAACCCTTCCAGACACACACACACTCCACACAAAGTGGAGAAACGCACAGAAATGGCACCCGAAAGATTCGCGCGCCCAACCACACACGCAAACAGAAATCGGGAGTTAGTCGCTACCCCCGGCCTCTAAAAGCCACACACATACACAATGACTACAATGCCGCAAGCGTCGGTTAATAAAATGTCTAACAGGTCTTTTGAAATCGGTCCCCCCCACTTCCCCCCCTCCATACTCTTCAGGTACCGTCAGCCAGTTTCCTCATAGTCACACTGTCTACCTCTCCCACAGCCCCACATAATGTATGGTACTTTCATACATTATTATAATCATCCACCGGACAATGTACAGCATTATGCATTACATCCACCGGACAATGTGTAAATTGCCATACATTATGCACCGGATAATGTATACACGTCATAAATTATGCATTATAATAATGTATACGTGCCATACATTATACCACCGGACAATGGAGCCATACATTATGCCACTGATAATGAACACCACACATTATGCATTACTTCCACCACCTCAGCAGTGACAGGTACGTCTGATTGTTACCTGAATATCGGGAACCATCACACCATCACACTATCACAGAGAAAAGAAAGCTGTTACGCGGCTACCGTACTCAGAAGCAGTTGAAAAACAGCGGGTGTGGTGGTCAGAACAGCCCACAGAGCCTGCTATTGAAGTAATTGAGTGAGAGTGTGGGAATGGCCAGCTCCAGTCTGAAGAGTCTTTTTGAAGTGGTCAGAGAAAGAGCAGAGTAGGGGAGAGGGAGGAGAGATAGACACGGAAAGGGAGAGAGGGGCGATTTTTGTTTCAGGACACTCTTTAGAATCTCTCTATTTAGGACACTGCTAGGAAGTGTCCTGATTGTAATGAAACTAAGACGACAGTAAAGAGCGTCCTGATATATATCTAGCAGAGAGAATCAGGACACCATTAGGACGTGTCCTGATTGGGGAGGTGTCCTGATCTCACGGGGAGCGAAACTTGTGCAATCAGGACACAATTAGGACGTGTCCTGATTGGTGAGGTGTCCTGAACTCACGGGGAGCGAAACTTGTGCAATCAGGACACAATTAGGAGGTGTCCTGATCTCACGGGGAGCGAAACTCGTGCAATCAGGACACAATTAGGACGTGTCCTGATTGGGGAGGTGTCCTGATCTCACGGGGAGCGAAACTTGTGCAATCAGGACACAATTAGGACGTGTCCTGATTGGTGAGGTGTCCTGAACTCACGGGGAGCGAAACTTGTGCAATCAGGACACAATTAGGAGGTGTCCTGATCTCACGGGGAGCGAAACTCGTGC